CATTATTTGTAATGTCTATCACATGTGAAGAGACTATCGGTTATTAATGGCTAGCTGTAAAGAGTAATATTGTTATACTTCTGTTCACAAAACATCCCAACACATCCCACAACATGAGCTCAGAACACACACACACACATTTACACACTCACAGAAATACACACAACTATGCTGAAAGTATTAGGATGAAGAGTGAGAGCATCCAGTTAACTGCTCCAGATTAATGTAAATTCAGAGTGAGGCATCCAAGCTAACTGGACAGAAACTGATTTATTAAGGCTTGGTAAAAAATTAAGATTTCCCAAGCTGATCAGAAAATTAGCTGGAGTAGCTCATAAATGAGAAGACTTTCCCTGTAGAATTGGAATAGACAAAAAAAAAATGATATTGGGATACCTAAGATAAGAATTTGCTAACAGATGACACAAAATATCTTATTCAATAGAAAGGGTTTTTATCAAATTTATTACTATGATGTTGGGATCCGAGCCTTCTCATTTTGAACATTTAAAACTTTAAATTAGAAAATATAAAAATAATTTAACTTGTAAAACCTAACCCCCAAGGAAATTGCAGGTAAACTATAATAAAATTTCAGAAAATGCAACTTACAGAGGAAAGAGAAATGAAGAATGAGATGAAGTGAACATTCCTACTGTAACTGTACAGTGCATGTAGACACAGTTGGCCATATTTAAGGATACTCCTCTGATGCGAAACTCCCACTGGCACTCTGGCCTAAGTAGTAAGCTTTATGTACTTTTGCCAACTTTGCAAAGCCTACAAAAGAAAAATTCACCGAATTCTCACAGCGAGAAAAGACCATAGAATAATTGTAAATTTATTTTCAACCGGCCTCCCCTTCCTGACCCCAGTATCTCTTGTGCACTGTGCTCTTAGCACACAACAGAGATTTTGGAGATGCAATGTTACTTTGACCACAGCAGCTATTTATTAAAACTTGTGTTCCTTTAGGCAACTGTCAGCCAAACTGGAATTAGGCTGTTTAGCCAGTTTGTTTCCTCATTTGCCCTTTCAAGCCATAGGTCTACAAAGAATTTCTTTGAAACATTAACATTCTAGTTATGCTCTTCCTCACACAGTGACGCTGGCAAAAAGATATTTCTTCTAATTTATGGTTTTCATTTTGCCCCTCCTCAATAACTTTGTAACAACAGGTCTTGCCAACAAGAACATTTATGCCTGTGAGTGAGGTGCCAACTTTGAAACTCATGTTACTTGGCACTAATTTATCTCACCATATATTATCACCTCAATGAAGCGAAACCAGCTTCATCTATACAAGTTTTTATATCAGTCACTCACAGCCCAATTAGAGGCAATTTCCCTGAAGACATAAATAACTCACATGGCAGCTCTTTTTATTCTCTCACTTTAAAATAAAAGAATTACTGAGTATATTTTGTATCAGTTGGGAAAACAGGACAGTTATTCGTGTTTTAAAAAAAGATTAAAATAACTGCAAGAGAAAGGGACAGAAAGTGCTACCATAGCAATATCATCCTGTATGCAAAAACTTTACTGTTGTAAATTTAAAATTTAATAAATTATGTTAAATCAAAATTATTAGAACTGTAAATTTAATGAGTTTTATTTATCCATTTTTTTGGAGTCAAACTGAAGGAAGATGAAACTCACAAAGAACAAAATGTATGTGTAAAGAAATAAATGTCTTTTGTTTAGAATTGTACATGCATGTGAAGTTTTTAAAAAGTAGAAATTATTACATAATTTAAAATCATTTTGACATTTTCCCTGAAATTTCTATTTATTTTAGATTCATGCATTCAAAACCTGTCTTTAATAACAATAAGCAAAAATTGGGAAAATATGATGGATAGAAATTTATGAAGTTGTTACATTTATCGAATTGTTGAAGTCTTGGAATATTTCTGACTATTCTCCTTCACTGTGAAAGAAAGTCATATAAACCAAAATATCTTTCAATATTTGAATAAATATGTGTTCTGTTTTATGATATTTTTCTATGGAATAAAAAGATACTGGTATAAATATTCTAAATAATATATTGGGAACAATCTATATGCAGCATTCTTTTAATAATTTATATATATTTTTGGTGTGTAGTACAACACATTTCCAGTGCTTTTCAATTTTTCATTTTTAAAACCATGCATTTAACAAATGGATATTTTGTACTTGCAGGGAAACTTCACTGAATGTTTAAAGATAACATTTAAGATGAATTCATTTCAAAACAAAGATTTTTTTTATAGTAGACAAACACTACTTTAACTTTTGCTGAAGCAGGAGAGGAATCGAACACAAACACATGGCTCTCTAAATACTTATTGGTGCAAGAAGTTCAATTAAAGGTGAAAAAAATCCACTGACACCTCAGGTCAAACCCAGACTTTCTTCTTAGTGGGTAAAGGACAAATTGTATTACTTTTCATGGGGTGTCAAAAGGAAAATGGATTATCTTTTATTTTTCTGTGGAACTCAATTAGTAGCAGAAGGGGAGATGCTTTGTACAATGTATCCTATTAACAAACAAATAGGTGCTACATCTATTCTAGCATCTAGAATAGGTGCTACATCTCATTTAAGTACAAGGCCTATAAATTGTGTAATACAGTTTAAGTGATCCAAAGAGGAAACACACACACACACACACACACACACACACACACATACACTGAGCAAATAATTTCCCTCATTTTTCTTGCAAATCAAATGCCCCTCCAAAAATGCTGAGTCATAGCTCTCCAAAATTGATAGATTAAAAATGGTGGGCCAGGGAGTTAGCTCAGTGGTTCCGCTGCCTGCCTTGGAAGCACAGGGTCCTGAGTTCAATCCCCTGTTTAAAAAAAAAAAAAATGGTAACATAATAATTTCACAAATGTATTTTTAATCATTGAAGAATACAATATACAAAAGAAATTTATATTAAAAATGTTCCAAACAGTTTTGAAATTATTTTGTATTTATTGCTTAGTGAATTTCCCTAACTTTTATCAGGAATTTGAAGTGTTTGGTTGGCTTCCGTTCACTGATGCATAGGTACATGCTAGGACCCTCTGTCCTCAGTGTTTAATTTCTGTCTTAATGTGAAACAGACAGTAAGATTCTCTCTTTTTTTTTTTTCTCTAGCAATAAATTTATTTCCTATTTCTGGATTTTTTTTCTAAAAGTTAATATTTAATTACTAATGTTTTTTATATGTAAAATCTCCCATTAGTGTTGTGTTTTACTAATTCTACTGACAAGATTATTTCATTATGTTATTCATTTTGGTCCAGTTAATAGCCTTCTATTTCTTCACATAAAAACTTTATTTCTACATTACCATTAGTGAAAAAAAACTGATTATCAGCTTTCCCTTGTCATCAACTAACACCCACTACAGCTCACATCCGTGCTGAGCTTGTGTATCAGCTCCCATGTTTTCATGTGATGGTTTTGTTATCAGAATCACTGTGTTGTCATTTAAATCAATTAAGATACTCAGATGACTCAGATGACTCTCTAAAGTGGCGTTTTTGACTGATTTGTAAAGTAGAAGGAAGCCAATAGGATGAAGACATAAACTTTTTGTTTATGTTCCTTTTTCACTTAAAGAAATAACATTATAATAATTTGATTGAATTCAAAGGCATTATATACCTACAAATACCACATAAATGAAAAATTAAATCAAATATAAAATTTATTTTATCAGCAGTTATGTCTTGGCATAATTGTTTTATTATTCACTTGTTGATATACTTAGTTGCACTTTATCCTTTATAGATCTTCACATGTATCATGCAAATTCTGACTTCATCCTCAAATGCATTATGTTCTATAAATGTTCTTAGCAAGAAACCCCTGGACTTCTTTTTTTAATCTTTAAAATAAAATGTTTTCTTTAAAGTATTTTTAAACTGAACACTTGAACAAATAATAGACTCATGATCTATGATGTACCAGATTGTACTTGTTTTAAAATAACTGGTAGATATTCTAAGTCACCAGATGTCTTTTTCTATCCTCTTTGAAACTTGTGTCTACAACTTACTGACCCCCAAAACCTTTTGCAGCATAATAACGTAAGGAATACTGAATGCATTGAAGTTATTCATCCAAAAGACCACAACATCAAAGATTGCTGAGTTTTGAGGACTCTTTCTTACTGTACTTTCAGGCAAACAGACAGTTTTATGGAAGTTGCCTCAATATCCCAAGCCAAATTGTGCACAACGGAAGACATACATTCTGATGAAGTAATCGGAGATGAGAAAACTTTACACTTCTGCTTTCTATTTCATAATAAGTGGTCTTGGACCAAATTCTCATTAGCATTTCTTGTTCTGCTACATTACAAAGCAAAGACTGAAGAAGATATTGAAACAAGAAAAGCCCTGGGAACCATATGATCTAGATTGAAAAAATGTATTGGAAAGCATTTTTCAATCGGGTAAGTATTCTGATGCAGTAGTTCAAAGAACTTTCCAAAAAGTATATAAAAGGACTTTATTATCTCTTTATGAGTTTGCCCAAGTTAATAGAGAACAAAGAGCAGGTAATCATGCTAATGGCATAAAAATATTTTATCAGACTTGGGACAAGTATTTTTCCACAATAATTCAGAATTTCCTTCAATTAGTAAGACCATCACTAACATACACACATGCTCACTAATTTCTTCTAACATTTATTCTTGCAATATTATTAATTTCAGGACTATGTATCTCCAACTTTCCTATTTTTTTGTTGTTGTTTTGAGTTTGAAATTCATGTGTTTAGTACACATTTAATAGCAGAGAATCCCGTCGTGAACTTTTTATTTTTAACCCAATAGGCTCCTATGGCAGCGTCACAGCTACAAAGTGAAATTTTATTCTGGAATTTCATAGGAAATACGTAGTCCGACTGTACAATGAAAGATTATGCAAATCCTCCAGGAGCATCTGATCAATCACAGTGGTGTGAGGAGAGGAATGCAGCCCACGGCTGAATTGGCTTCTCTTGGAAAGAATTCATGTGTAACATCCCGGGCCTGGATGACATCACGGCAGCTCTAGGTCTGTGAAAGACTTGAGGATGATTAGCTGGAGGAATTGGGTGTTTCTGCCAATCATAATCGGGCAGAGCTGCCTTTACAGTTCTGTGGATAGGAGAGAGAGGGAGGGAGGGAAAGACGGACTCCAGCTAAACAGCAGGCACAGCGCAGGAGCCAGGCAGAGCCTGAGCAGCTGGTATTCCAGTGATTAAATAGTTCTCACAGCCTTTTCTGCTGTACCCGGTCTGCTCCCTGGTGTAATTCTCGTGTCCAAGAAGGAAGCTGCATTTTAACGGTGTGCTGAACAGAGGTTTGAATCATTCCAGCTGGCTGCTTGTTTTGAAAAGGATAATGTGTGTATAAATAAAAAGACTGCTAGAAGAGTTCAGGCACTAGGACTGGAGCTAAGAAAGCGCTCTTGGAATATTGTAGGAGCAGACTGCACGAACTGAAAGCTACTCCTCATTAACCTGGAGCCAAGTGAGCCTGAACACTGGATATTTCATCTTCTAACTCGGGATAAATTCAAGTTAGCAAAAGAAAAAAATTGAAATGCTTCTCTAGGTAAGTTACTGCTTAATTTGCTGAAATTGAGGTGTGTGAAATAGATATATGTTGCATAGCTACATAAACAAGTTGAACACAATAAAGTTTTATTTGTGAAAGATTTATGTAGAAGCAGATAATATTTTTAAACCAAATTCAATCCCACTTTAAGGCATGTTAGTACTTACCTGTCATTATGCTTTGTAAAAGTTATGTTTGTACTATAAAATGGAATCTACAGTCCTGCCTCAAAAAAATAGACAGAACTTGAAATATTTTGAACAGCCCGAATATTTGTAGAGAAAAAACACATTACTTGATTAATATTTTAGACTTTTCATGTTGAAATTGTCAGTTTTACAAACTCATTATTCAAAACTAATTGTGTTGTTATAATGTTTACTGAGAACATGGCATTCAAAATACCCAAGATGAGAACTCCTCTCTCTGGGACATGAAATTTATAGGCATGTTGTCTTCTAATGATCTCCTTTAGAGAAACAGCTGTCACAGACATTTGAAATTGTATAATACAGTCATAAATTGCTCATAAAGAAATAGATACTTTCTGCCCAGATCCTATTAGGAAAGAAAAATAAATTCTTAGAATAATATATGTCATAGGCCATAAACAGATTCCCAGAAGGACAGAAACTGGGATGTGATATACCTGTGTATACCTCCAAATTTCTCAGCTGCAGAATAAGTTGGAAAGTGAGACATGTTATTTAAATACAGTTTTAATGATCTTCTTCAATACTGAGTAAGAGGAAGTTAAATACAAAGGAAGGAAATGTAAGCCTTATTTTCCTTGTAATTTGTCCTTGTTAATGAGACACGGTATTTTCACTGTTACTATAAGGATATGTTGACTGATGGCCTGCTTTCCTTATTGTGATTAGCTAAAGTGAATTTTCATATAGTTCTGAAAAAAAGTTTCAACAGTTTATCATCTCTTTCAAACTCTCTTTTCTTGCTTTCAGAAAGCTTTCTATCAGAACATTTTAATTAGCTCAAAATTATAAATGTTTTAAAGTTAATTGCACATCAATATTCTGTTTCTAACTCAGAAAGGTTTTAGTTATCCACTTTCTTATCAACTCAACAGTTAAAATCTTGTGAGTTTCTTTCTACCTGAAGAAATTGACGGCGACAAGTTACTGTAATTGGTTGAATTTCTTCAAAACTAAGAGGCAGTGAGTTTTCCCCACAAAGATTTAAAAGGTTTCTTTTCATATCAAAAGAATAGTCTTAATCTTTTATTAAAAGTATGTCAATTTAGCAATATCCAAAAGCCAAGGAAGTGTTCCACTGGTTATGTTTTTTGATGAGCATGTACATGTACAGAATACAAAGTCTACTGACTAGTACAGTGTGTTTTCAGCAAGAATGAATGAAAGACTAAGTGATTAATAAGCAGAATATGCTTGGCATTTACATGTATCTCAATATATAAACGGGATTTTTACAGTATATAAGTGTTACAATTTTTTAAAGAAATAATCCTCTAAATACCCAATGATCAATAGATCATTTAGATTGATAGCTGTAAAAAATTAACTGATGGGGGAAAATTTTTGGAAATTCAACACTGAGCCCAATAGTCCTTTTTAAACTCTGTTTGAATGGCAACTGGTCACCACTAAGACTGATGCATAGGAAAGCCCTTTGAGAAGATTGCAATGTGTAGAACTTATTAATTACATAGTGTGAAAACCAGCCTTACAGGGAAAATATATATGTAATTTAGAAAGCCAGATATCATCCTTGATGAAAAGTAAAACCTCATAATAATTTCCTTATGCTTTCCCTTCAGTAAATTAATGTGGACATTTGACTATAGATCTATTAAAATCATATCAGTTTGAAATTTTATCTTTGATAAAAGAGAAATATAAATTCATATGTATTCAGGAAAGAGTAATATTTATATTTTATCTGCATATTAAAACTGTTATATCTGTTCTGTACCTATTCTTCTCTCAAAAATGTGCACAGTAAATGGATTTTTTAAAAAATTGTTTCTTAATTCCATCCTAAGCCAATATTAGTTCTTAAAGATGTTGAATAACTGCTTTGAATCCATACAATAGCTTTCCCTAATTGGTCTTATGTATATATGATTCTCTTCTATTTTCTGTTTGAGTAGAAAAGGAGTCTTTGACAAGAAAATGCAAACATCAAACTTTTTGTGTTTCATTCAGAAGCAACCACTCAAGGAGAGCAGAGAAGCATTTAGCTTAGCATACTGTGTTCAGACTAGAAGATTCTGGCTGGTGCTGCCTCCTCAGATTTGGAAAGCAGCTGGGGACACTTACAAAATAAAGGTAGAATATCAGCCCTAGCTAGAAGCTGAGACCAAAAACCTGTATACTCAGAAGGCTAATTCTTTCTGGGCTGAAAGTCATTGGTAATGCGTTAAGCTTTAAGTCTAACCGGAAGTGTTACTTTCTTTCTCCAAACTGTGGAATGGTTACAGAACATATTCATTTTCTGAGTAGAGCAAAATTTTAAATGTACACAGGTTTTGTCTTTATGAAGGCCTCTCTAATGAAAACAATATAAATAAACTCCTATAAAATCAATACATACTCAGGAGAAGACAATAATAAGAAGCAGAGTCTAACCATCATCTTGGAAAGGGCAGAGAAGAGAGACCTCAGGTGCCACATGTGGGTACATGCCAAAGCTGAGAAATGTGAAGCTGTTCCTGCAGCAACTGGTCAGGGAAAACGTGCAGCAGGAGAACGCATACTAAGCACTACTGTAATATATACATATA